CAACCATACGTTCTTCCTGTTGTGAGGTTTGTTATTATTATTATTATTGTTGTTGTTGTTGTTTTTGCATATTAATAAATCACTCATCCATTCATTCATTTATTCAATCATTTATTTCATCTTTCATTTTATTATTTGCACATGCTGTATTCACTTTTTTATACAATTATTCATTTTTCATCTCCCCATTCGTTCGTTCATTTATTCATTCATTCATTCATTCATTCATTCAATAGTTCATTTATTCATTCATTCATTCATTCAATAGTTCATTCATTCATTCACCCAATCATTCACACACCCATCTACCCATATATTCATTCATCATTCGTTCTTTTTGTCGCTAATTCACAAACTGACCTAAAAAAATACCCCAGAAAAATTGAGTCGGCCATTCTGTCCAACACATCCCTACTTCACGAGTATCTGCCCATCGCTGGCAGTCCTAAATTTAGGGAGGGGGCCATCAATTTGTTGTGGGGTGGCGACAAGGAGTTGATTGCTAGGGTTGGGAAATTGTAAATTTTGTTGTTGTTGTTGTCGCTGTTGTAGTTGTTGTTGTTATTGTTGTTGTGGTTGTGAATGTGGTTGTTCATCCATTTATTATTTACTGACTCATTCATTCACTAATTTATGCATTTTCATTCACTCGCTCATTCATTTATTTATTCACTCATTTACTTATTAATTAATTAATTCATTCATTCGTTCTTTCATTCTTTCGTATAATTATCCGTCCATCTATTCATTCTTTCAATCATTCATTCATCCAGTAATTCAATCACTATTCCATTCTTTCATTCGTTCATTTATTCATTCACTAATTCAGTCTGGGGGCGTGCAAGCTCTGGGTGGGACGGGGGCGTTGAGGTTGGGGTTGGAATTTTTGAGGTCAAGGTTGCATTATGAGACCGTCTACGTATCTAAACCGACTTGGGGTACGTAAGACTCTTCTGTTTTAATTTCAATCAATCACTCAATCAATTAATCAATCAATTAATCATTCAATCATTCGATCAATCACTCAATCAATTAATCATTCAATCAATCAATCACTCATTCAATTAATCAATCATTCAATCAATTACTCAATCATTCAATCAATTTATCAATCAATTAATCAATCAATTAATCAATCACTCAATCACTCAATCATGCGATCAATCATTCAATCACTCAATGAAATAATCATTCATTTAATCAACCAACCAACTAACCAGCCAACTAAGCATCTAAATCTCAATCAATCAATCAATGAAATTATCATTCATTTGATACGCTAGAAATAATTCAACTACATCGATCAGCAATCAGCTAAACAATCAAAAAGTCAATCGGGCAATCAAATTATTATATAGCCAACGGACCTACCAACCAAATAAACAACCAACCAACCGACTAAGCAACCAACCGACTAAGCAACCGACTAAGCAACCAACCCACTAAGCAATCTTAATCAGTGCTCGTCCGTGCGAAAATGTTGAAAATTCAATTAATCAATCAGGCAGCCAATCATCAATCAATTAATTCTCCCGTCAATCAACTTACCAATCAATCAACTAACCAATCAATCAACTCACCAATCAATCAACTTGCCAATCAATCAACATTTCACCACTATCAATCAACAAACCAACCAGCTAATCACATAGGAATATGCAAATCGTTGTTGTATCCAAACATCAAAGAGTATAAGTATTGGGATGATAAGCTGAGATGTCTAGATCTAGATAATATGCTGCAAGATTTAAATGTTAGTTGGTTTGCTGGTTGGTCGGTCGATTGGTTGGTTGGCTGGCTGGCTGGTTGGTTGGTTGGTTGGTTTGTTGGTTGGTTGGTTGGTTTGTTGGTTGGTTGGTTGGTTGGCTGGCTGGCTGGTTGGTTGGCTGGTTGACTGGTTGGTTGGCTGATTGGTTGGTCGGTTTGTGGTTGGTTGGCTGGTTGGTTGGTTGGCTGGTTGGTTGGTTGAATGACTGATTCTATCTTTCATTTTTAGTCAGTCAGTGGAGTGCTTCTTAATTAAAAAGATGTGTCTATACGTCTCATTATTTCATCATACATTCATTTATTCCTTCATTTATTTATTCATTTCATTCATTCATTTATTCATTCATTTATTCACCCAGGCAGCTCCTGATCGTTCAGTCGTTCTGCTGCATGCTTGTGCTCACAATCCGACTGGTGAGTGATGATGATGATTGTTGTTGTAGATGGTGATGATGATGATGACGACGATGATGATGATGATTTCAACATCATTATCATAATTGCCATCATCATTATCATCATTACAGGCATGGATCCAACGGCTGAACAGTGGCATAGAATAGCTGAAGTTGTTAAGGTAACTCATTCATTCCGTTCATTCATTCATTCATTTATTCATTCATTCATTTATTCATTCATTCATTCATTCATTCATTTCATCAATAATTCAACTCAATCAATCATTCAATTCAATCATTCAATCTTTCGATCGATACAATCAGCCTAATCAATTATTCAATCTACCAGCTCTGTCAGCTCAGACATTCTGTCAATCAGCCAAATCAATCAATCAATTAATCAATCAAATCAATCATTCATTCAATCAATCAATCATACATAATAATTATGATAGAATAATAATAATTATAATGATAACAATAATAATACAATTACCAGGCCAAGAAAATGTTTGTCTTCTTCGACTGTGCTTATCAAGGTAATAATAACAGTAGCAATAATAATAATAATAATAATAATAATAATAGTAATAATAATTTGAACTTTTTTATTATTGCAGAAGACATAAAATCAAATCAAAATAGATAAAATGAAATGAAATAAAATAGAATAAAATAAATTGTTAATATTGTAATAAATTGTTAATATTGTTATGCACGATCCTCCCATACTCCTTGCCAAAAGTAAATGCATAGGAGTAAGAAATATATTTAAAAAATAGTAATAGCAATATTAGTAATAATAGTAGTAGTAATAATAATTGGAACGCTTTTATTTTCCGAAAAATTAATAAAATATTAGTATAAAAAATAAAGTAGGCTATGAATTAAAATGATAATCTACATTACTCGCCATAAAACAAATGATAAAACGGTATTGGATTGATTGGATTCAGTCGTTCGTTTTCTGTCACGGTAAATAGCGTACGATGTCGATACAGATGAATTAATCAAACTGTTAAGAAATTGATCAGTCCACGTAAAATTAATTAATGACAATCTAAAAGGTTTAAAGAGAGCCGAAGGTGAAATTTCAAATGTATTAATTATTAATTTTGAATGCTTCAAATGCTCGATCAGGTTGTTGTGCAGGTTTGCCTTGTATTTTGATGTTTTGTATTCTTTTGATTTAGAGAAGTTTGACTCTTGGCAGTCAGTTAACTCCAGTTTTTTGACGGTGTCGCCCCGAAGAAGAGCAATGTCGGGGCGAGGAGTTTTGAGGAGAGATGATACTGGGTTTGTTGAATTGTTGCAATTTGAGTCTGGATAAATCGAGACATCAACGTCTGCGAACGATTCAATCTTTTCCAGAATTGTGGATTAGTATTTTTTTGTGTCGTATCGTGTATCTTTTTAAGGCCTCTATCGAATCACAATTTGATAATGCATGCTTGCTAGTTTGGCGAGCATTGGATAGTGGACACAAGGCATTGGAGATTTTTCCCCATCTGAAGAGGTTTGCATTTGTGGATAGTTGATATCCGATTTGGTTTTATTATCGAAGATTCCATAGTTGGAGGAAAAGTAATTGTAAATCATTGTTTGAAACGCTGTTGTGAATTCATCTATGTTGTTGTAACTTGGTAGCGTTTGTTGATGAAGCTGGGTTTCTTGGTAGTCTGATACCAAGAAGAGGCGTTTCCGTTTTTTCAACTTTTGGGGATGACGGTTGGTGGCTTGTTGGCGGCGACTGTTGCTGGGCGTTTGACGATGTTAACGGCGAAGAATTTGTATCACTTTCGTTCTCTTCTTCAGCCAGCTGAAGATTGTTGTGAACTTTGCACGAACGTTGGTGCATTTTCAGTCCTTTCCTGCCCTTGCAATATTTTCCGCAACAATGGGGAATTAAATTAGAACCCATATTGGCTGAATATGGGTTCTTTAATACTCAATAAATTCAATAAATAAATTGAAAATTCAATAAATTCAAATTGGAAATGTTAGACGTTCAATAAATTCGAATTGAAAATGTTAGACGAAATGTTCTCATTAGAATCGGCAGGCGAGTGTACAACGTTAGTCTTAAAGTTCGCAGTGTTTACCGTGCAACGGCGGGAGTGCCTTCCAACAGAAGCAAATGATTTATGGCAATATTGGCATTTTGTTGAATAAACCGGGTAAATTGAGTTTAAAAGGAGAATAAAATAGATAACGAAATTAATTTTGAAATTTGAAAATATCGCCACCGCTCTAAAAAAAAGGCTTTAAAATCAAATTCATGTATGAAAACAGCGAGTTGAAAACAGCGAGTCAAACGAATTCGGCCAACTCTCGTGTAGTATTTACACGGGAGCGATAATCGTAATGATAATAATAATAATAGTAATAATAATAATAAATAATAATAATAAATAATAATAATAGTAATGATAATAATAATAGTAATAATAATAATAAATAATAATGATAAATAATATTAGTAATAATAATAATAAATAATAATAGTAATAATAATGATAATAGTAATGATAATAATAAATAATAATAGTAATGATAATAATAAACAATAATAATAATAAATAATAATAGTAATGATAATAATAATAATAATTAGGCTTCTCGAGTGGGGACGTCGACTTGGATGTCGCTGCGGTCCGCCTGTTCGCCAAGTTGGGCTTCGAGATGTTCGTCGCCCAGTCCTTCTCGAAAAACTTCGGGCTCTACAGTTTGTCTTTTTGGTTTATTATTATTGTTGTTGTTGTTGTAGCTTTCATTATTATTAGTAGTAGTGGTAGTAGTAGTTGTAGTAGTAGTAGGTAGTAGTAGTTGTTGTAGTAGTAGTAGTAGTAGTAGTTGTAGTAGTAGTAGGTAGTAGTTGTAGTAGTAGTAGTATTATGCTGCTGTTTTTATTATCCTAATTGTTATTATTTCTATTGTTATTGCCACTTATGAATGGCATAATAATCTCGAGTGTTATTCAATGGATGGATGTTTGAAAGCGGCAACTGATAAGTACAATTCAATACATTTGATTATTTTTATACTTTTATCTCTAGGGTTTTTTAATTTAGTTCAGTTCTGTTGTTAATATTATTCTTTCCTATCTTTTTTTATTTTATTAATATTTTTTATTATTATTATTGTTGATCATAATTATCATCATTTGAACAATTTAGTTGAGAAACCACAGATAAAATTAACTTACTCTCAACCAATCACAGCGCACCCATTTAACAAACTGGCCAATCTAACCATAACCAACTGACCAATCAGATAGATCATTCACGCATGCAAGCAAATAAAAAATCACAATGCGGTCATACACTAAACCAGCTGGCTTATCGAAGCAAACACATCTAGCCAACCGACCAATGACAGCACTTCCATGTGACCAACCGACCAATCACAGCACACACATCTGACAAACCGACCAATCACAGCACATCCACACGATAAACAAATCAAACAATCACGACAGGCGAACGTGTAGGCCAGCTGACATATCTCGTGCAATCAGCTGATATGCTGCCTAGACTGGCTAGTAACTTTTCGACGATAGTTAGGCAGATTTGGTCGAACCCCCCGGCGCATGGGTCCGCCATCGTGTCTGCGGTCTTGAATGACCAGGTCCTCACCAACGAGTGGTTCGTTTTTTTTTTCGTTTTCATTTTGTTGTTATTATTATTTAATCGTTTTTATTATTGTTGTTTTATCATCATTATTATCATTTAATTGTTTTTATTATTGTTGTTATTGTTATTATTACGTGTGTAATAGAGGTTTCAACGACAAACACACACAGCGTATATGAATACCCGTGCAAACCACGCATCATATACATTGCATATGATAGGCTGAGATCCCTTTGTATTCGAACCCAGTCACTGCAGCAGCAAGACCAGGCCTTTAAAAATTGAGGTAGCGTCAAAAGTAGCAATCGTCAATATGAAATAGTTTTTAATTATTTTTAACTATTAAATAAAATATCTCCATCAACTTTCGAGATAAAGGGTTGAGATTCAATTGATAATCTCCATATATACACACATGTTTTTTTAATGTGTGTATATATGAGTTTCATACCTTTGCACTCCTGTCCAGTGTCGCTGCGATGCAAGTTCCGTATGCTCAATGTACCATTTAATGCCAGTTAATAGCCGACTCGTCGTTAACAAACTTCTTTACTCTTGTAGATTTAAACCGGTTGAAAGATCACGACTCAACGGTTCATATTTGCGATGTAGAAAGCACATCTCATAGCAATCAAACTGACTAGCACTCTGACCAACGTCTCCAACAATCAGCAACATCCTTCTTTCCTTACTCTGGCAGTGGCTGTTGTGACAATTCTCAGACTACCGACATACACAGAAGCGTACTTTGTCGGTCTTTGGTGTTTGAATGTTTAAAGATGTATTTCATGGAGGCGATGCCTAACCTTACAATCCTTGAGAAACATCATCGGTAGGCAGATGCCGCCGCACATTCTTCAATTTTTATTTTTTAAGATGTTTCATGTGTACGGAAACGTTACATTACATAAACCGTACTCTGTCGATCTGTCGTCCGTGTTTGAAAGTTTAAAAGATGGATTTCATGAAGGCGATTTTTTAATAAGGATGTTCATGTGTGCGGAAATGTTACATTGTTTCTGAACGTTTTTTTCTCCTCCATCCTTTTTTCTTCAAATGTTCAATACGATTTGTCGCTAAATTTCCGACTCCAGCTCAGCGATTATACCATCATCTGATTCTGGCTTCATGTTTCAAGTCGGTAAGGAAAAGCTGAAGTTGGTTGATGCTAATCTGGGATGGGGTTCCGAGTATTTAACTATGTAGTTCTGCATCAAATTAGCAATTTTTAAATATAGCTGCTTCATTAGATCATTCGGTAAGAAATAACGTGTCCAAATTCGTGAAAAGATTGAATTAAATAGCATCTTCTCAATAACAGTTAAAATAACACAAAAATGATCAGAAAATTTTTGACACTAATTAAACTAACTAATTAATAAAATCATGAAAATCATGAAACTAATAAGAAAAAAAAGTTATTTATTTAGTTTTATCACGCAAGATGAGATCATCTCCACCCTGCATTCTTCCGGATTCATCCTTTTTCCTTCTTTACTAAACATGCTGGATAAATTTCGATCTGATTATATCAAAATCGATTATACCAACTGAATCCGACGAAACCAGTGACTAATTCTTCAGCCAAAAATTAATTAACTGCTTATTAATTTCTTAATTATAGATACCTAACTGTTTTAGAACCACGCTTAAGTCATCTACCTTTCCAGATGTAGATATATATATATATATATATATATATATATATATATATTTAGGAACGAGGTTTTCATTAATACATATTTTGTTAAATTTATTTGCCCATTTTGCATTTATCAACTTTTTTATTATGGACTCAACACAGCGTAGTTTTTGACATTCATATTTATTGTGAAATTGTGACATATTAGAAGCTGACAACGTTGTTTCGGCTAGGTAGCCATCACCAGAGCCTAAAACCTATGAAATATAAGAAATTTAATTAAAATAAATGAGAATTAAACGAATTATGTAAATTATTTAGCGGACATGACAGATAAGATATTAAAAATAAAATTGGAATTGAAAGTGAAGTTAGAATGGTACCTTGCGAAGAATGTAACCTAAAAGATAAATTTAATACTAAAACATGAAATTAAATAAAAGTATATATATATATATATATCAATAGGAAACTTATACAGCGCCAATTAAATGTTCTCAAAGGTGCTATCGTAATTATATTAACATTGAAGTCTACAATACTATTAATAATAGAGGACTTAAGTAAATTTATCAAAGTCTAACAGTAAATAAATATATTTTCAGTTCTTTTTTAAATGTCCTAAGAGACAGGTTATATATTAGGGTGGAGTGAATTTATACATAAAAAAATTTTTTTCTTCTTTTTACTTTTCCTGGGGTTGGGAAATATGTCTTTTATCGAGTTATTTCAATGTGTAAATTTTGAATTTTATTGAACATTGTTTTGAGGTTCCTCTCGGCTGGAGACTGTTTATGAATTGCATTTCAAAAGTAAACAAAACAATATCATCAAATTAAACATGTTATTAACTCAAATAAATCATTTAAATCTTGAAAAACAAAACATTAGTGTTTACTAGTTCACATCAAAGACTTAAATAATGAAGTGTTTTTTAGTTTCAAATTTTGGTATATCATTTTGAGATGCAAGTTTAGTACGAATAAAGCCATCTCTTGCTTTTTCTCCACAAACTGAAAGTGACGCTTCTGTAACTAATTTTATCATTCTTTCTACTGCCTGAGTATGGCAAGGCAACTTCAAAAATTCAATGTTATTAGGAATATCCATTATCATCTGTTCTAAAGCTTCAGTTGTGATATCTTTTGTAAGGGGTGGCTCTGTGATCTCGGTTGCATGCCAATCGATCATGTCGTAATAGTTGATCGCATCAAAGTTTAGCTTTGGAACTTTGAAGACTCGAACAGTATTTAGAGTGGCATCATTAGCTCTGCATTTTAATATCCGCCTTAAAGCTAATTCCCTTATGTGCTTTTGTTCATCA